ACCTCCTGCCACAAAGGCATCAATTTATTCTCTCGTGTGATATAAATTCATTAAGGGAGGCAATGCCTCACTCTTCCAAATCAGAGCCTAAATTTGGCATTTGCACGTGATGGCTGCACACAAGCACACTGCTGCAGCCCCCAAAAGCAGCAGGAGGGATGCCCTGGCAGCACCCCTCCCTCACCAGCCCGTGCCAGCTCCTGCTCCCGAGCCAGGACAGCCTCTGCACCCTGGGGAAATGCTGTGGGGAGGCTCTCCCAGCTTTTCCAGCCCACAGCCTCACCTGGGCAACGTGGTGTGGGCCAGGTGTGGGAGTGGGAATCGATGGGCATTTCCAGGGAAAAACGTGAGGGTCCCTGTTACAGGTTATAAACATTCAAGATGAAACGTGGCACTGAAAAGCAGCCCTGCTGCTCTCCTCATCTCCAGATCCATGCCAAAGCAGGGAAGTTTAAACTTCTTGCTTTTTGAGGTTTTTTTTTTTTCTTTCTTTCTTTCTTTCTTCCCTATTTTTGTACTTTCCCTTCTGTCCTCCTAAATCTGGTATAACAGAAAAAGGAGTAAATAAAACATTTTGGAAAGCTCTTCCAGCCCTGCTCTTCCTGGCTTATGGAGTGGAATGGAGAGGGAGGCCCAGAGCACAGGAACCACAAAACTTTGGCGAGCTGGATTTTCAAAACAAAATCGGGTCTAGAAATGGAAACTTTGGTGAACTGAGATGGAGATGAAAACTTCATTTCATACTTGGCTACAAAGCTGGATCTTCATCATCCTCTCGTTCTGGCATTCCCCAATTAACCTGGTGCTCCAGAGACATTTTTCCAGCTCCATGAGCACGGGGTGGGTTTTGCCATCATCCCCTGAGCAAGCAGCTGCCCCAACTCCCTCTGTCCCAGAAAACAGCAGCACAGCTCAGCATCCTCTCCTTCTAACTTTATTCCCAGAGGTTTGGAGCAGGGAGATCCAGCAGTGACACCTGTCCCTGAGCCTCCGGGGGAGTTCCAGAGCAATTCCTCCCAGAGCAGCTGGGGCTGGTCCCTGGCAGTGCCCAAGGCCAGGCTGGGCAGGGCTGGGAGCAGCCTGGCACGGTGGGAGGTGTCCCTGCCATGGCAGGGGTGCCACAGGGTGGGCTTTAGGTTCCCACCAACCCAAACCATCCCAGGATTCCATCACCGTGGAGGATGAAATGTCCCAGTGGAGAAGTGCTCAGCGAGCCCTCGGAATTCCAAGGAATCTCTGCTCAAGCCGAACCCTCCGCGACAGCACAAGTGTCACCAGCCGCAGTGAAATACTTTTTTTGGGAAGCACATCGCTCCACTGGAGCCCTTGAAAGCACTGCCGAGGTGGACTTCAGGCCGTGCTCGGCTCAGAGCAGGAGCCGGGAGATTTCATCCCCTTCCTACCAAAGCTGCTTTTATTGTCTTGATCTAATGAAGTGCAGACTTCACCTGGACAGAGCCATAAGTGGCTCCTCTCGGAGGCAATGAATACAAATACTTGACCTCGTGAGCTGCGGGGCAGCAATTAGTTTAAGCAGGGGGTTTGTGTAACACTTCAAAAGTCTTAATCCGTGCGGTCAGCCCTGGCACGGTATTTGCCAGGGCGCATTGAGTAGTCTTAATGAGTCTGCAAAGCGAGTTTTCAATACATTTTGGGTCGCTTCAGATGCTTTAAATGGCATAGTCTATATGGTATTGTGCGGCTTTAGAAAGGGCCGGGCTTTAAAAAAGTATGGTTCCCTTTCACAGGGCAGACAGAAACCATCTTTAGAGCCGGGACCCTTAACGTTTTGCATATCAATACGGCTGGGGCTGAATGCAGTCACTCAGCTGAGAAATAGGATCACTATCAGCGTTTCCAGGCTTTCACAGGCACTTGGGAAACTTTAAAGCCCTCGGTGGAGAATAATTCGGTCGAATGTCGTCGCTGGAAACAAAACCCCAACAAGCAGAGCGCAGTCCATCATGCGGAGCTGCCGGCCAGGCTGACAAGGGGCTCCAGCCGCTGCGACATCCCAGCCCCGGCGGGGGCCGGGGGTCACAGCCTGGGGGGACACGGCCGGGCCGGGGGATGCCGAGCGCATCCCACTGCTAAAACTGCTTAGGAAGTGCTGTAACGTGGGTGTTGTGTGGAGTAGAGATAATTCACGCCATTTCTAGGATGATTTGTGTGATATTGAATATTTGTTGGAGTGTACACGTTGGTATTGGGACTCCCCCCCACCCTCGCAGGGAAACCTGGTGTGTGTTGGAACCCGATTGACACGTGAAAGGATGTGGCTGGCCAGGAGATGGGGATGGGCCATGGCTGGAGAGATGCGGGGACACC